TATGGCGAGGGAATATTCATCAGCACCATACTTCTGCTTCTTCTCATTCCACACTGTCTCTCCACGCCCATCCGAGACTATGCTGACGTCTGTTACAGTTGCACGGCGATCTCGAACAGCGATTAGGCCAGGTTTGATGAACGACGTAGAAGTAGGGGCTCTCAACCATCGAAGACAGTTTACCCCAGTCGGTGGAGACGTTTTGCAAGTTCCCTTGCAACCCGATTATGACGAGCACATCTGGCATCATGCGTGATCCAGCAGGATTGCAAAATATGCACCAAACTCTCCGGTTGGCCACAGTTTCCACGACATAAGATCGTCTGGCCACCATGCCGAGCGCTTCTAACTCTCGTCCTAAGCAGGTTGCATCGGAGCTGGATACCCCGGATAAATATCTGTAAAAACATTCGTTCTGGGAATACGAGCCATCGATTCGAGAGAGGCGAAGTGACCAACTCTCGTAAACCACGACCGTGAGCGCTGTTGTGCAGACTATCACCCCAAGCAGCCACCAGCTCCTCCCTGGTGTTTACGCATGCTCCATAGACTCGGATCGGAAGGCTGAGAGAACAAACAATTTTGCCAAATGCGGAATCGTTGACCCGAACTATTTGTTACGCTTAAATCCGAGGGGACCTTGGCCGTACGACTTCCCTCCCACCAATTCAGTATGCTTTGGGCCTGAGTAATTATGGCAACTGCTGTTCAAAACACAGTCCGAGGTAAACGGAAAGAATGAGTCCCTCTCGGGAAGTAAACGATAATGAGATGAGGTGGTGGTTGGCAAAATGGTTGATTTAGGAAATTCGGAATTAAACCAACATGTAGGAGAATAACGACCCAGTTGTCTTTTTGTTTGATTGTCGTAATACACGAAACCATTGTAGTTTGACGCAGCTGGGTTCGAAAAATGCACGGTGCTATCGGGTTAGATGTGAAGGTTGCACTTGCACAACATGTAGGAGAATAACGACCCAGTTGTCTTTTTGTTTGATTGTCGTAATACACGAAACCATTGTAGTTTGACGCAGCTGGGTTCGAAAAATGCACGGTGCTATCGGGTTAGGTGTGAAGGTTTGCACTTTCACCTTAAGGGGAGTTCATGATGAACAGTTCAGTACTGAGGATGACAGATGCAGAAGTATCGTTAACAATGTAACCTTAAGCGTCTCGGATTTAGGAATATACAGATGACATATTAGAAGAAAGCAGTCTTCGTACAAGAAAACTACACTAAGTCGTTGGGAATCTACTCACAGTGGACATAAACGCTTGTTGAATGGCGATAAACTTGAGCCCCAAAGCATCGTGAGGGGGCATGAGTAAATACAGGACCTCGGGTATCGCGCGATCAATGATTGGCTTTCTGTCTAATTCCGCCTTGTTCAAGAGTAGCGAAGGGACCTGTTCCACGGGTGTGGTGTAGACGGAAACGGCGTAGTAACAACCTGTAAAGTACGAGAAGCAAATGTACGTTAGCCGATTATGACAGACACCTATTTTCGACCAAGAAAAACCTAGAACAGAGCTCTACAATGAGTGCTATGATGAGAGGCATTGTGTGTGTACTAAGAAATCACTTGTGTTCGAAACAGTTACCTCCAGGCTACTCGAGCAACAATTGAAATTACAAAAGCTACACTCAGAGCGCAAATGGTTACCCATAAAGGCATTTTTCACGAGATATGCTTCTCAGAGCCCACAGAGAAAACAAACAGTGCTGGTTCGGTAAATCCGCGAAGAACAGAGCGGAATTGATGTGAAGTTTCGTCAAAGTCGGTAAGCATGGACTGCTGATGCAATCCTGATTATCTAGCCACTGTACAATCAGCTGACATGGGTTTCGCAGTTCTGGCTACGCTAACGCAATATGGTCCCAGAAAGTTTGAAAGGGTACATCTGTGTCAACATCATCGTGGTTCAAATGACTGTTCCGCAACACGCAAGCTACATCAGCTAGTCTTACAAAAAATGAGGATAACTTTTAGGACTACCGACAAACCGGACTTAATTCACATTCAAAATTTTAAGAGTCAGGAACAAACAGGTAGATACCTGGTAAAAGTCCACGAATCCAAAACGTTCCATTTGAGTCAGTCCATGATTGTTCTCGTGGAACGGCAGATGCGTCGCTGCCCGCAAGCTGACAAACCGTATTGGTGTGGAGCGGAAATTCCATGGCGGTAGCATGTTCCGGAAGGTGAGAAATCCAGGACGCCTCGACCAGTACGTTGGCTTCTGGGTTGTCCCCAAGAGCCACAACCTGAAAGTTTCCAAAATACATGCATAGTTGTGACAGGACAGGCAGTGGAATACGCTACAACATCCACGTGTACACCAGAAGCACAGGGGTTCGTATGCAACTATCACACACAAATACACTGTAAAGCAAACTCGCTTTCTCGTATTCACCTAAATGTACATTTTCAAGACTTCCAAGGGCGACAGAAGCAACCCACAAATCAGTCCAATGGTGAGCAAACTGCTGCTGAATTTCAGTGGGAAACGCAACACTAGTCTAAACAACAGGAATGAAAGTTTAAAGACGGCCTTATAAGGAAATAACTACTGAGAACGTCCGGTGATGCTGACAATACGACGAAACACTGGTAGCTGAGATGCGTCTATTGGATGTAGATTAGATCGTTATGACCTGCAATTTGCTTGCAGACGATTCGTCGCCAGTCGAGATCAAATTATCAATCAGCGGCGACCAGTGCACCCTACTGCAGTGCGGAAGATTAGAACTGTGACTTGCTGCGATATCTCATGGCTCTGATATTTCCAGGAATGCTAAAACAAAAGCCAAGTGAGGCTCAGCATCATTCAAAACCAAATGTGTGTAGTATTTTTTTCAAAAAAGATATGCTGTAGTGGATCAGAACCGATGAATTGGCCACCCAAAGTGCTTAATCAACAACCTCACATGTTCTGAGATGACCGTGTGCTACTTCAGTGGTTGAACATTCACTGTAATAACGGTACTTTCTCAACTTAGTTCTCAGTTTGAACCATCCAAGCTAGCAGCTACCAAAGGTGTGCAGCGTGTATCAACGTCCAAAATCAGGCCAAAAACACATGTACACCGCGTCATTCATAAAGCGTATGCGGCAACATTCTGGAAATTACGGTGCCTTCTGGATGCAGCATTGGCAACCGGCATCCGGCAGACACAAGATCATGATTGGATGTCAGATCCACACATTCAGCCAATCAGAGCTCACCCTGAAGCTGGACCGACAGGCGGCCCGAGATTTTCGCCAATCGCGTTCTGGATCGGCTTCTTCGCTGTAGCAGCGCCAAACTGAAACCTTTACAGACTGCCGACTATATAGACCACAAACGCCAGCACAAAAGCCAGACAGCCACAACCGTGGACAGACTCAAAATAGACCAACAAAATTATATTGACCGACCACGTGTCAAAACTCATCAGTTGAACATCATACACTAAGTTAACTCCCCAAAGCATACAAAAGAATCAGAAGACTGGACGGGTGGGGGAGTTGGTAGCTCACCAAGCCAGAGGCGGAGAAAGCCACACGATCGGCTTCGATTTCCACCCGAACCGACGCTCCTTCTTTGATTAGGATTGGACTTGCTTGACCAGTGTTCTCGGATTTTGGTTTGACCACAGTGAATACATGCTCTTTCATCACTGCGCGTAGGTAATACTGACCTGAAGAGAGAAATGATGAAGAATAAGTTTATGGTACGGGAGACCTCTTTGAATCCAGGGACGGGTCCATTCTTTGGTTCCCGACTTAATACTGCAAAGCTTAACACGCTGGTTTGATGGTTATTGGTCAGTGTGTGAACCGTGAACAAAAAAAAAGTACTGCCGATCAACAGTACCACCAAACCCAACGGCGCCCAGTCAAGAGAAATCAATCTGATAGTCCTCCGAAAGTAAAACAACTACAGTTGAGTATCATGGTTATTTTGGCCACGATTTCGACAGTCATCTGGAGTGTGCAACCAAAAAAACAGGGCGACGCTGGACGGACTGAAAACAGGGCACAAAAGCGACGACAAACGGGTCCGCTGTTGTTTTAACCTTGGGCTTTCCGCTCTGAAAGGGATCCAGCAGCAGCTTGATGTTGGTTGGCACCACAGTATGCATTGTCATCCTAATGCTTTCAGGGACAGCGGTGCATTATTGCTCAACTACCAAACTGGTCGTAAGTCTAACACTGAAGCGTCGGCGGTAGTGATGATCAGTACAAAATTGAAACAGGTATGCGTTCAGAAACAACATAACACCAGGGTGGTCACCTGATGAACTGAGGTACTCCAACAGTGCCGTAATTGATATTGCGTTACTTGGGTTATCAAATAAATTTCACTTCTTAATCCGTACAAAAACCTCCGTCATTAAAACACAATAAGCACATATCCAGCTACAGACTCACAGTGAATTACTAAAACCAATGCCTGGGCTGGTCATGTCAATGCTAAAACGCACGCTGGAGATAGCTCAGTGGTTAGGGTAAAAACTTACCGACAGAAGCTCCGTGGTTCGAACCCAACCCCGGCAACTCGACTGCCTAAGCTTTCGAAACATGGAAGTAACCCAGCCCTCATGCTTCATCCAGATAGCATGGCAGTTGGGCACCGAAAATGTGTTACAGCTGAACAATTATTGATCATTATTATTATTATTATTATTATTATTATTATTATTATGGAAGTTTAATTCCAAGCCATTCGTCCGAGCATATATCTTACTGCCTTTTCACTAACAAGTGATATACTACAGATTCCTTGAATTATCACTATGCCGACCCAAATTAGGCAGGATAGGCCCAAAATGCACTTAATAATTTCTCCAGAATCGCCATGAGTGTCACATTATTGTTGTAAGTCGTAAATCATTGAGCTGTAACACCCTTTCGTGGACTAACTGCCATACCACCCGAAGGAACCACGAGGGCTGGAATGCTGCCAGGTTGCCCAAGCCTAGACAGAGGAAGTCGAGAGGTAGAGGTCGGGTTCGAACCGCGGACCTTCCAACCAGTAAATTCGCGCTCTAACCACTGAGTCGTCTCACCCCTGTACACTCAACTTCAAAATAACCATGAGAATGGGACGTAATTAACAAATTTGGTAACCTGAGTGGGTCATGGCACTGCTCAGGAGCAGCAACGAAGGGACCCCCGGCGCTCTAGAACTTAAAAACCTCGCTGTTCAGTAAATTTGTTTACTTGGACGGTAACCGTTTCACTGCCACGGCAAAAGAGGCAAAGGACATTTTGCACTATACAAACACTTTTTAGTGGCATTCAGACGTTGAAGAAACCATTCCCGAGTCAGAAACCAACAGCGATCCACATTCCATAGCTCTTCCGCTGTGGAGTCATTTTTCCATACCGGTGCACAAATCAAAGCGTAACCGATTTCGTCAAGTAGAGTGGAATGCTTACACCGCAACTAAATCAGCTTCTCCCACAGTGTGCAAAAAAAGCAGCAAACTTCCTCCTAGGACTTGAAAAGTGCTACTCTCCGACTGAAAGGCTGTAAACATCTGAGTGAAAATAGCATAAAGTTTACTAAGGTTAGCTGCAAAGCGTCACTCACCCGGTGCCAATCCAACGAAATTTGCCATTCCAAGATGGTCCGTAAACTGGTTACCACGGTGACCCTCTCCGATGATCGAGACGAGGACACCTGGAGGGGGAAGTAAATTGAGAACGATGGTGAACACCAACTCGACTTCCAACAAAGACTTCTCCCGTTGCGTGGACAATCAATCAAGCATCTAGCACGTAGGCTCCCTTAAAGAGAACAACAAGTTGAGCCCATTATCAAACATTAAGTTGCGTTTGCTTCTGATCGCGTTTTGCCGTCGGTATGAGCCGATTGGTCAGCGATCCGGGAGGTAGGAAGTACCAAATCACGTGGCATGAACTGCCACTTACATAGTTGTTCAACCGCTTCTCGGAAGAATTAGAAGAGCGCTACAAGTGGCTACCAATAAAGATGAAAGGGTTGCACGATACTCGTTATTCGATAACCGGAGTGTTAAAAGATCAAAACATACCTTGTAATGGTCGTTTGTCCGCACCCTTGGTCTGCACGAGGACTTCGACCAGAGATAACTTTGTCGCCTTGAATACCCAGTTGGATGGAGAAAATTTGTCGTCCAGCGTGTGTTCTGAAAATTCGTAGCCTGCCTTACTCAACTCTACACGAAACATGGTACGAGGATCAGGTAAACTGGCTTGGTTCTTAGCAGATACCGCGGTGGGGTTCAGGGGAATCGGGCCAAAGAAGAAAACGCCCTTGGTGTCTGTTAGAGTTGTCGCTATAGCAGACAAAAACGAATCCGTCTGCTGGGATGGTGGGAGAACGTGTGAAGGCGTATCATTTTCCGTATAGTTTGATTGGTCTGTGGCTTTACCGTGAAGCGGTAGGAGTGGTGACCTGGTAGATTCTGAGCTATCCGTGGAAGGTGCTACTCGGAACAGACTGACTTCAACCTGCATAAGGAAGAGTAGAAAGTTGTGACCGTAAAAACCTACACGAAGCTTGCACGCAACAGAGCAGAACGCTTGGGCTCACCTTGGGTATACCTGGTTGCACCACACCACGAAGCAAAACGGCCAATTCTAGATCAAACTCAGCCGTTTGACCACGATACAAATCGTAGCATGACTGCTCTGTCTGAGCAGATGAATCCTGACTGGGAACCAGAAGAGGATAGGAAGCAACTTCGTTTTTCACTATCGGTGATATATCTCGTGGTCGTAGCACCAATGTGATGGGGTCCTTGAGCAGATAAGTGTAGGACCATCGAGGACCATGTAGGGGAGCAGGTCTGGGTTTGATGTTGATAATGTGGTTAGGATTCACCTTGACGGAGGCTTCTGCATACAGTAAGTCTTGATCCCCACCTGAGGACCACCTGCGAGAGAAAGATAGGCGGGGGAGCACTGCAGGCAACTTTGATAAAACGTGATGAAAAGGATCGAAAATATGTTTGTCTTCTGCGATGGAACAAATGGTGACATCACTCGCTTAAGAGAAGTAATAGAAATGGAGGAATAGGATCACCGAGAAATATCGATGTCAAACAGAAAGGCGGCTAATAGACTATAGAAAAAGAGGAAAATCTCAAGCACGTGATTGGCTCGTCTGAAAACTAGTTTACCAAATAACACAACACCGTGATTCGATAGAAAAAAAACTTGATTTTCACCCAGGTGATTCGGCTAACCTCAATATCCGCGTCAATCGGTGCTTACCGGTTTAGGGCCATAACCGCAGGATCATCTGAGCTTTCCAGTCAGCTTGTGAACGCTGATTTCCACATCATTATCTACAGTACTCAAAACAGACAACGACAGCATGACATCAGTGCTCAACACCAATGCTTCACTGCCGTACACCCATGACTTATTTGAAAGCCTTATTGTAAAGAAAAGAATAAAGGTGGATGGGGGAGGGACTTAGTGCTAGCTTAACACAATCATTCCGAGGTGCCTACACCTCCAGACATTCATTCAGGCAATCTGGACAGAAACTGACAACAAGAACGCCACTGACATCGGGTGCCAGCCATATCTTGTAGTGTCTCCAACCAGGCACAGTGAGGATCACGCGGTCCACATCCTGGAAGGCGAGTAGCACCGACAGCACCCAAGCGTTTCGTCAAAAACACGTTCCCGCCGTCCGGACTTTCACCAAGGGACCCTCTCAGACGTTAAGTTCCTTTCTTTGACTCGCTCCCATCTCGCACTGCATTTATTTTTATACGTGTCGCAACCATACTGAAAACTTCTATTAGTGCACATACACCTTCTGAAATGAATTATGGCTATCACCACCTGTGCACAAAAAATTGGTGAGCCCGACGTGACTCGAACACGCAACCTTCTGATCTGGAGTCAGGAGGGTCCCTTGGTGAAAGTCCGGACGGCGGGAACGTGTTTTTCTCCGCAGTTTGGCTGCTACACGTACTCCATGGTTGTCCGTGGACTTGTGGAGAGGTTGACGTCCTGCTCCCTGCGCGCGCGCGAGTCTGTGTCTTGACTGGGTTCGGTTTCCCTTTATGTGGGTCCCAGTGCGTATATGTGAGCGCGTCGGCACATGAGTGGTTGGTACGCTCACTAGACGGTGCAGACAATCGACGTCTGATGAGTCACCTTAATGTGACGTGGTTGTGGGCACGAAAAAGAGACAAGTCTCGTGATCCAGTGAGCGACTGTGGGCTGAACAGTCAAGTGTGTGGGCTACAGGCTCACCTGTTTTAAGTACTGTAGGTAATTATGTGGACCACGGACCTTCCGGTTAGTAAATCCGCGCTCTAACTATGAGCGATCTCGCCCCCTGTTTTATAATGCAAATATCTTAAAAAGAGGTTTCCAAAACTCAGGACTTTGAAGCTCACAAAAGTCAAGTTAAACCACAGCTGAAGCAGGGACCGACCAACCTTGAATGTGTGGAATGGTATCTTGTATTGGTTCAAATGATGATCACTTGCAAGTGTCACTACCCGACAATATTGAGTTGGTACAGTGTAGATCAAGCAGAAGTGTTTACTCGGTTGTTTGTCTTCACAAATATGAGTCACAATACCACCACGTGAAGGCTCAGTGGCCAAGTAAACTAAATCATATAAATAATCACGGACAGTAGTTGAAAATCCTCATCCCACACGGCGCTTTTCACATGTCGGGACCTTCTCCCAACCAAAAGAACAACAAAAGAATGGACATCGAGCACACAGTTCCTTAGGAAACATTCCGTCCACTCTACCACCACATTATCTTTTAAGGCCGTGAGAACTAAAACGAACAGATATTTGTGTATGGCTGCTAAAGTGGGTACTCTCGACACGGAAGATCAGCTATACGAAGATTTCCAGATCAATATAGTAACCCAGATTACAGAAAAAACGGACAGAGTACACTTGGACGGATAAGTTGTTCAGTCTAGCCAACGAATGCCGTGACCAAACGGATGCTAAGCCAGAATCAATGAAAAAGACCTTGGAAAACGTACTTGGCTAATACGTTGTGTGTGGTGCCATCGGTTTCCAGAGATTCCCCGTGTTCAGTTACATCGACTGGAACGTAATCTTTCGTTAGTAATTCACGGTCACTGGCTGTTCCAAATGGATGCGAAAAACCCAAGCGAACCTTGACCGGGACCTTGTTGACAGACAGTCGAAGCGTCGGAGTTTTGTCGATCTGAGTGTGACAATCTTTAGAAGGAAGTATTTGAATGGGTACAGGCCCAAGCAGGTCTACACAAGGACTGGACTGCGTAAAGCGGTAGTTTTGTTTCGATGACGGAAGACAAATCTACGAGATAAAAAAGATGAGAGGTGTGTTTCTCAGAAAGGAATAGATTGCACGAGCAACACCTATTTGTGAAGCCCCGAAGAACTATGCGTCAGAATACGAAGAGACTGGACTTTACCGTGGTGTGGCGGTTTGTGTACCTCGGAGACCCTTTGAGCTATACTGGGGGTGTCCGCGCGACACTCGCAGTCTCTCATACCAGGTTGGTCAATGGTTAGAGGTCTAACGAACACAGTCTCCTGGCCCTCCAGGTTGGGGGTTGGAACATGTGTGGCGACTTGTTCCGTAGAAAAGGTAATGCATTTGCATTTCCCCGCCAAACACCGCTGCCTTGCGGTTAGGCTTTTGAGCCAAAGGCTTTGGTTGAGGACCCTAATCGTCCTCCTGTCTAGGTGTGGGTGCCCTGGCAGTATCCCAGCCCTCGTACAACCATGACCTACACAACTAACAATACTCTCATGCCACATCGGCCGTC